GAGAGAGAGAGAGAGAGAGAGAGAGAGGGACTTTGAGCATGTCACAAGTGGCTGATTTCTTCGGTACACTCACTACTTGCATAACGAGATAGCTATCTTCTGTGTAATTGTGTATATATATCTGTGTGACGCATAGTTATAGGAAAACTTGACATAATGCTCGCTCACGTGCCCAAACACACACACAAACACACACACACACACACACACACACACACACACACACACACACACACACACACACACAAGACAGTGGACCTGTCATGTGTCATGGAGACAGGGGTCAGATACTGCTTGATGTGTGTGAGGGTTATATCGCTTGGGAAAAGGACCTAAGATCTAACTGGGGCTGCAAAGGGGCCAACAAAAACAGCACGGAATACAACGCTGGAGAAAGAACACTCACAAGGACAGGAGGGAAGTGGAGCCTCACAGAATGACTCCACAGAAATACTCCACTCCACAGTTGTTTAACTCCAGCTAATGCGGGGAAAACAATTAGCACTGTTATGAAACGTTAATACAGAAAAATAATAGGCATAAAAAATTCTGAGTGGAGATGATGTTTATACGCACGTTTAGAATTGAAATTTTGGACGTGTAAAATCACAGCCTGGATTTTCTATTGGATTTCATTTACAGTATTGCACTTGAAATTGCTTACATAAACGAATCCGAATGGATTTGCTGATCGTGCTCAGGGAAGTCATCTTTCAGAGAAGTCTGAGTGCCCCCTAGCTGCCAGTATCCTAATTACATGTCATTTGTTTGCTTTTTCTTATCAGGGGAAGCAGTAAGGTTGTCACTTGAAACATCCTGTGTCACATGAGATGAGATGAATGTAAAATAGAATTTTGTTTTTCTTTTTACGAATGTGAAACTCTAATCGCCCGATATTGTTTGGTATGATCACAAGTACGCTTGCTTTTCAACAGGCCCCGAGGCTATCCCCGCATCCGTGGCCAGATTATTGATTTTTCAGGACACATGGGCTTCTCAATCAAATCTTTGATTGAATACTTTGCTCTCCTCAGCATTCACATAGTCTAAAAAACACACACGTTGTTGACAGAGAGTGTCTCGACTCCCGAGCAACATCATTTACCACTTAGGCCCCTCCCAGAGGAGCACGCCATGCCTAATGCGTGGCAGATAGCTTGATAGCTCTGGCTTGTGTCGAGAAGTGCATGTCAATCAACAGCTCGCGTCAACGTCACAGAGGCAAAGTGTTCCAGAAAGATCTTTTTACTGAGTGCCTTTCTACCCATCCTCTAACACACATTCACACATGCACAATCACACATGGCCATTTCCATCTCGGCAATCACTTCTCCGAGAGTTCTGCTCTTCAGATGTGTAACGGTAATTGAGGTTGCTCCCACGGGTGCAGTGCATTCTGGGCCGTTAAGTGCTGTTTCTTGTTGTTCTTCTTCTCTCCAAAGGCTTGTATTTTGGCTATTGTGTTGTTTCCTCCCGCTCTCCGGCAGTAGTCTAACCATCCTCTAACACACATTCACACATGCACAATCACACATGGCCATTTCCAAAGTCACTGGCCGATTTACGCGTATCATTAGAGCGTCTTCTTGGATGTTGGCCTTCTGTCCCAGTGTTATATTAATCAATAAGACAAAAAGGCTTTGGCTGTTTTTTCCTATAAGCACGCAAGTCACATGAGAATCGGATGTGTATTTAAAAACATGACCAAACATCAAGTGCCAGTCATTTTATTCTCCTTCCTCCTCATGAACTTCCTCTTCTATATCTAAGCTGACACTCAAGTCAGTCAAGTGTTCACATGCTACGCTGACCTCGCTGCTCGCCACATCAGGCCTGGCTTTTAGTGCGCCCCCGTGACCTTTGTGTGTGTTGATGACGTCGTCTGTCCAGAAGAGGGAGTGATTGATCTGGATTGACACAAACAGCCAGTGCTCGAGCTGGCCTGTCACACAGCATCACTTGGCCATTGCATGCCTGAATGCTAGATGAGGAGGGAGTGAGAGTGAGGGAGCGCAACAGCGATGACCTGCTCACTTTCATGTGGCTGGAGCACATTTGGACACAAATGAAAGGTTTTGGTTTGACTTGGAGAGCGTGAGAAGTTTGTCGAGATGCTACAAAAATACACTGAAAACGACTCAATAGAGTGCAGACCTCCAACAAGAACAGTCACTCAACCTGCAAGTCGTGGCATCCGCCCTCAGCGACATCCTGCCTCAATTCGTACACTTGATCAAATCAACCCAATAACCTAATAAATCGGCCTCACTTTAAACATCCTGTTCCCTTTTATATAAAATACACAGTTGCTCATGGAGTGGAAATCAAACATCTTTTCGAACTGGAGCACCAAACAAATGGCTAATGAGACACAAAATGTAATTATTACAACGGGACAAAAGTAATTACTGATGCATGGGAGGGCGAATAAACCAAGACTAGGTCTTTAAGAAATATATCCCAACTTTTTGGGCTACAGTGTAACTAAAATCTAACAGGTGGTGACACAATGTAGCTGTAATCAATTGAAATTGTAAACATGTTTCTGGCCAGTGGTAGTCTCCACCCTGATCAGGTGGAAGGTTCAACTGATGGGAAAAGTGTGTGACAGTGCTGGGAGATTACATTGAGAAAAAAAAACGTGAGCTTGTATCTGTATTAGAAGTCCTTATACCAAAAAGATTCACCCTATGTACTGAATGAACCTCGTACGTTGTTTTAATTAAACAACAACACGAAAGAGTTCCAATGCAATATCAATATACAGTCCATGCATTATGCTCTATTTTTCATCATAGGTATTCAGTCATTTTGGGTGGAATTAACTCATCTGTTGAGGAGTTGAGCTTTGGAACCGGGGGTCAAGTAACCTGTCATTGGCTGGCAACCAGTTTAGGGTGTCCCCCGCCAACTGTCCAAAGACAGCTGGGATAGGGTCCAGCATGCCCGCGATCCTCGTGAGGATAAGCAGATCAGAAAATGGATGGATGGATGGGTCAAGTAAGCTAGGCTCCCTCCGAACTACTGTTTGAGGTGTTCTTAAGCAAGGTACCGACTCCACCTTTTTATAATTCAAATTGCATGTTTTACCTGCATTTGCATACCCCTTTCACTGACACCTTTCACTGCATGCTTGCATATGTGTGAAGTGGTCCTGTGTGGTGCACAGCACAAAAATACAGAAGTCTGCGAGTTGAATTTTCCCTTGAGGTTTATCATGAGTTTAATAATAATAATAACGAATGTAATTTAAAACATGAAAAGCAGCAGCACATTTTAACTGGGCAAATGTGTTTATTCACTGTTGCTCGGGTTATTTTTCATCTAAACGTAATTGTATGGCAATAATGAAACGATGTAGCGTTTATGATCACCTTTTGGATTCTAAGTTCAATGCTGTGTTAGGTCAGTTGGTCTCTACATTTGTTTCACAATGATGCATCGAGCTATTTGCACCCCCGATTCTACTACGACCGCACGTAAACGTGACAGTGTAACCATTGTGTTAATGGAAAGAGCTTCCACTCCAATGTTATTTAGAAATGCTCGAGTGAATAGAAATGACGCCACGTAGTTGCGAATTACCGCAGTAACTTTTCTTGACGGCCTGGTGGTGCGTTTGCGCCTCCTGTCTGTTGACCGAGAGGTGTAACGACACTTTACTTTTTCCCCATTTCAAGGTTTGGTATCGGTGTTGGGCTCGACTAAAGCGTTTTAGCGAGGCGGAGAGCTTTCTTTGCACAGAGCCAAGATGCTGAACATGTGGAAGGTTCGGGAGCTGGTTGACAAAGCGTGAGTATCTCGCAGATCTTTCGCTTTATTTGAGTACGGAGTTTACCTGTTTGAAACAGACACGTATCAAAAACTTTGACGTCACATTGCTAGGACAAGTTAGCTAACCTGAACGCTGCTAACCCTAAACAGCGGACAGCACCCTGCACTACCACATATACAATTTATATGGAGGTGTCACTTTAGTGACAGCTGATGTGAGATAGCTTATACCGTCACGGCACTTGAGTGTGTTGTTGGCGTTTCTTCCTGACAGGTCAAGGCAGCTAACAAACTTAGCCAACATGCTAATTCATTAGCGTACTGGCTAGTTGGCTAACTGACCAGGGTAGCCAGCTAAGCTAGTTTGACAGCTTCGGATAATGACGTGAGAACGTTGTCGTGACACAATCTCGACGCTTAGTTTGAAATAATATTATTTAAATGCATCCATTCATCTTGTGACGTGGCAGATATTCTACTTGTCGCTAAGTTTTGCCCTCTTGAGCCACTCTGTATGAATGTACAGTATGTGCATGTGTACCATCCACTGTACTGAATGACTCAAGGAATTGCGTCACACCAACACAAATTTCCCCGTAATATGGTACAAAATCCGTTACCTGAGGTCCCAGGTTGGATCAGCAAGTCCCAACGCTTGCGAAAATAAAAATAGGACAACTAAATAAGATGATATGATAAAAAGATGGAGGGACACCAATTCACTGTACTATAACTTTAGTTATAGTACAGTGAATTGGTATAAGTTTTTTGGCGTGTCCAACAGCGTATTACAAAAGCAATTTGCGCTAACAAGATGTTCTCAGTATCATCAGGTCAAGCAAACCAGGTATAAATTCGGGCTGTTAACAAGCGAATTGATTGAACAAGCATTTGCAAATAATTCAGCTTTACATTGTGGCTCTTAGGTGTCAGTCCATTATAATGTCAGTTGTGTTGTGTGTTAAGCATAAGCCAGAAGTAAATATTTATACTAGCCTTGAACTCAACCAGCAACTTGTAATGGTTTTCTTTTTACATTTCAAGATTTTCATGGAGCTTTTATTATAGCAACCTCACAGCCAGGGTAATTCTCTTACTGTTCTTTTTTTTTCAGATTTTGAGGACTAAGACTTATAGAAAATATGACATTGAAAGTATGTAAAAAAAAAAAAAGGTGGGCGTGGGGTACATTTTGAGAAGCATAATTTGATCATTTTTAAGTATTAACACACAAAATGAAGTGTTATGCGTCATTCATATTGATGTTATATAATCAGTTTAACAAGTGTGCTTCAGTTATCTTTTGTTTGTTTAGTTTGTTCATGTCGTTGAAGATGGCTGGGTGTGTGAATAGTAGCTCATGAGTATCTACAAACTTGTGACTCACGACGGAAGTGTATGTGCTTCACTCTCAGAACTGTGAGTAACGTGACTTCCACTTTATCGCCAATATCTTTGCAATATCATAGATAAAGCATTGCATCACCGCATCCTTTCTGAATGCTCCTTTAAGAGGAGACAAGATGTTGGGCAGTGTCCTAAAGAGGCTGAGGATACATCCTGGTCGTAGAACATACAGAAAGAACTTGAATTTGATTAATTGTCATAAAGTTTTATCAGGGTAACGGATGACAAATGGGGACTTCTTTCCATTATTGAAAAACAACAAGTTAAAAATATATATTTTGTTGCCTTGGACTTATTTTTCCACATCCATAAAACATGTTATGTTTTCCAAGTGTTTCCGTCCCGTGCAGCTGGACATAGTGACGCAGCATGTCTCCACAACCACAGAAAAGGGTGGATCCCGGTTTGACTTCCACCAAATCAATGCTGCTCTTTAAGGCCTCCTGCTGATGTGACATGAACATGTTGGCATGTGTTAGAACCAAACATTAACTCTGCCATGTTTTGGCTGAAGCTCAATTTCAAGTTCATTAGTTCATTGTAATAAAATGTTTGGTGATACCAAACTGTAGATTATGATTCTGAAGTCTTCAGAAATCATATGTGTCTGAACTGACTTTAAGAATGAACATGAGAACAGTATTGAGTACTGTACTGAACGCGTAGGTAGTCCAACACAGATTTTTCAGCGGTAGTTTACCAGTTGACTTCTGATTATTCGAATTTAGATTTTTCTCTCCCTATTGTAAATAATGACGATTAAGTAACAATTTTAAAACATTTATTTTACTGTACAGGCAATACTTAGAGTAATGTTCTTAACTTTCTTTCAAGTGTAAAAATAAATGAGCTGCTGGGAAATAAAAATGAAGGAAATCACTCGCACTATGACATGTGACTGAACCAAAGGAAGTGGAAAGCAAGGCTTGCTGAAAATGAGTTCATTGTAGATTATGCTTTGAAATGTTCTTGATTGTCATTCTGAAATGGAGTCGGAGAGTTACTCTTGTATAGAAAAACACTTTCCACTTGCCATTAACAGTTATGGCATGATTGACGCGATGCAGTGGAAGGATTCCTGCCTGTGCCTGGCAGGTTAGTCTTCACCTCAAGGCTGGTACGACTTTGCGCTATTATCAGTGGCAACTTGTATCCCAAGTATGTAAA